GTGATGTATCGGCGAATAATGCGTGCCAATCCCAGTAAGGTGGCCTTCTGCTGCTGGCATCTTGTCAACAGCAATTGTGTTTAAGTGCAGGCCAAGGTCTTGAGGCACTGCACCCAGTGTGCCGATCATATTATTATTATTATTATTATTATTATTATTATTATTATTATTGTATTATTATTAATTGTTGTTATTATTGAATTCTTGTCCAGGATACAATAAAAACTGGACATTACATATATAGTATCCTCCTGGGACGCCTCGCGGGAATGGGCCTTGGGGGTACTGCTTTGCAGTGGCTCCGGTCCTTCCTCGAGGGTCGCTCCCAGAAGGTGTCACTAGGGGACTCCTGCTCGACTCCTCGGCCATTGCACTGTGGAGTCCAGCAGGGTTCAGTACTGTCCCCCATGTTGTTTAACATATACATGAAGCCGTTGGAAGAGATCATCCAGAGTTTCGGGGTACGGTGTCATCTGTATGCAGATGATGTCCAACTCTGTCACTCCTTCCCACCTGCTACTAAGGAGACTGTTCATAGAATCAGAGTTGGAAGAGACTTCCTGGGCCCTCCAGTCCACCCCCATTCTGCCAAGAAGCAGGAATATTGCATTCAAATCACCCCTGACAGATGGCCACCAGCCTCTGTTAAAAGCTTCCAAAGAAGGAGCCTCCACCACACTCCGGGGCAGAGAGTTCCACTGCTGAACGGCTCTCACAGTCAGGAAGTTCTTCCTCATGTTCAGATGGAATCTCCTCTCTAGTAGTTTGAAGCCATTGTTCCGTCCTAGTCTCCAAGGAAGCAGAAAACAAGCTTGCTCCCTCCTCCCTGTGGCTTCCTCTCACATATTTATACATGGCTATCATATCCCCTCTCAGCCTTCTCTTCTTAGGCTAAACATGCCCAGCTCCTTAAGCCGCTCCTCATAGGGCTTGTTCTCCAGACCTTTTATCATTTTAGTCGCTCTCCTCTGGACACATTCCAGCTTGTCAATATCTCTCTTGAATTGTGGTGCCCAGAATTGGACACAATATTCCAGGTGTGGTCTAACCAAAGCGGAATAGAGCATGGGGAGCATGACTTCGCTAGATCTAGACACTAGGCTCCTATTGATGCAGGCCAAAATCCCATTGGCTTTTTTTGCCGCCACATCACATTCCTGGCTCATGTTTAACTTATTGCCCACAAGGACTCCAAGATCTTTTTCACACGTACTGCTCTCGAGCCAGGCATTGTCCCCCATTCTGTCTCTTTGCATTTCGTACCTGCTACTAAGGAGGCTGTCCAAGTCCTGAACCGGTGCTTGGCCGCTGTGACGGACTGGATGAGGGACAACAGATTGAAACTAAATCCAGACAAGACAGAGGTACTCCTGGTCAGTCGCAAGGCCGAACAGGGCATAGGGTTACAGCCTGTGTTGGACGGGGTTACACTCCCCCTGAAGACGCAGGTTCGCAGCTTGGGTGTGATCTTGGACTCGTCGCTGAGCCTGGAACCCCAGGTTTCAGTGGTGACCAGGGGAGCATTTGCACAGTTAAAACTTGTGTGCCAGCTGTGCCCGTACCTTGGGAAGTCTGACTTGGCCACGGTAGTCCACGCTCTGGGAATATTTTTGTTTAGATTACTCCAACGCTCTCTACGTGGGGTTGCCTCTGAAGACTGCCCGGAAGCTCCAACTAGTCCAACGTGCGGCAGCCAGAATGCTAACACGAGCAGGGTACGGGGAGCATACTACTCCTCTGTTGCGCCAGCTCCACTGGCTGCCAATTAGCTTCCGAGCACAATTCAAAGTGCTGGTGTTAACCTATAAAGCCCTAAACGACTCTGGCCCAGTTTACCTGTCTGAACGTATTCTCCCCTATGAACCATCTAGGTTGTTAAGATCGTCTGGAGGGGCCCTGCTCTCGGTCCCACCGGCCTCTCAGGCGCGTCTGGTGGGGACGAGGGACAGGGCCTTCTCGGTGGTGGCCCCTCGACTCTGGAACTCTCTCCCACTGGAGATCAGAACTGCCCCCTCCATTCTGTCGTTCAGAAAGCGGGTGAAAACCTGGCTATGGGGCTTGGCTTTCGACGAGTGAATCAATATTTCTGTGATCGGATAGATGACGATGAATGATGGACAACGAATTCACTATGACGACTGACCATTGTTATTATGTGATTGCATTTTGCTGTTATAACGTTTTAATTGAATTATGTTATATGATGTTTTTAATGATTGTTTTGTGATTTTATTGTTGGAAACCGGCCCGAGTCCCCCGATAGAGGGGAGAAGACCGGTATACAAAGTTGCTAAATAAATAAAATAAATAAATAGCGAAATAATTAAAATGCAATTCTGATACAACATAGTAGCACCCACTCTTAAAGGTGTGCCTGTGCCTTTAAATGAGTTTGGTTGCCCTGGCAGCAGTGTGGGCGTATCCTAGCAACCATTTCATTTGCATCACATGACCAGGAAGGAGGAAGTTAAAGGGCCAGACTCCTATTTCCTGTCTTTCCCTGGGACTGCTGCATTGTGGGTAGGCAGAAGCATGGATCACTGCAAGGAGAGGACTATTTAATCTTTTTGCAGGCAAGGTTCACACAAATACTGTTAATAGTCATAGTATATCACATCATATATACTATATATTATGCTATATTATATATAATAGTATTTTGTAAGTGTTATATAATAGACACAGTATTAAATATACTATATAATATATATAATTATAATTTTTGTAGTATATTGTATACTATTGCATGTACAATATAGTCTATTATATATAATACTATATTATTTTAATGTATATGTAATAATTTAATAGACATAATAGTAAATATACTGTATAATATAATATTACAATATATATATAATTATAATATATAATTATAATTTTCACAGTATATTGTATACTATTGTATGTACAATATAGTCTATTATATATAATACTATGTTATTTTAATGCAAATGTAATAATTTAATAGACATAATAGTAAATATACTGTATAATATAATATTACAATATATATAATTATAATTTTCACAGTATATTGTATAGTATTGTACGTACAATATAGTATATTATATATAATACTATATTATTTTAATGTATATGTAATAATTTAATAGACATAATAGTAAATATACTGTATAATACAATATTACAATATATAATAATAATTTCCATAGTATATTTTATTGTTTGTATGTACAATATAGTATATTATATATAATACTATATTATTTTAATGTATATGTAATAATTCAATAGACATAATAGTAAATATACTGAATAACATAATATTACAATATATATAATTATATTTTTCATAGTATATTGCATTATATATGCTATATAGTATAATATACTATTATATATAATATTTTATCTACTGTGTAATTCTAATTCTAATAGATTTAATATTAAATATACTATATGAAATTATAGTGAATATATAATTATAATTTTCATAATACATTGTGTGTGTGTATATATATATATATAATGTTATTTTAATTTATATGTACTGGTAATCATTTTAATAGATATAATATACTTTATGCTATATAATATAATTATATTACTATATAGTTATAATTTTCATAGTGTATTGCATTATATATGCTATATAGTATAATATACTATTGTATATAATATTTTATCTTATGTGCAATTATAATTCTAATAAATATTAACTATATTATATGAAATTGTAGTATATTTATAATTATAATTTTCATAAAAATATAATATGTTATTTTAATGTATATGTACTAGTATTCTTTTTAATAGATACAATATAAAATACTGTATACTATATAATATAATTATATTATTATATATAATTATAATTTTGATTGTATACTTTATTATATTATATATATATAGTATAACATACTGTTATATATATTATTTTATTTTATATGTAATCATAATTTTAATAATATTTAATAGTAACTATATTATATGAAATTGTAGTATATATATATATAATTATAATTTTCAGAATATATTGTATTATATATACTATATAATATGTTATTTTAATTTATATGTACTGGTAATCTTTTTAATAGATACAATATAAAATACTGTATACTATATATTATAGTTATATTATTATATATAATTATAATTTTAATTGTATACTACATTATATATATTATATATAGTATAACATACTGTTATATATATTATTTTATTTTATATGTAATCATAATTTTAATAATATTTAATAGTAACTATATTATATGAAATTGTAGTATATATAATTATAATTTTCATAAAAATATAATATGTTATTTTAATGTATATGTACTAGTATTCTTTTTAATAGATACAATATAAAATACTGTATACTATATAATATAATTATATTATTATATATAATTATAATTTTGATTGTATACTTTATTATATTATATATATATAGTATAACATACTGTTATATATATTATTTTATTTTATATGTAATCATAATTTTAATAATATTTAATAGTAACTATATTATATGAAATTGTAGTATATATATATAATTATAATTTTTGGAATATATTGTATTATATATACTATATAATATGTTATTTTAATTTATATGTACTGGTAATCTTTTTAATAGATACAATATAAAATACTGTATACTATATATTATAGTTATATTATTATATATAATTATAATTTTAATTGTATACTACATTATATATATTATATATAGTATAACATACTGTTATATATATTATTTTATTTTATATGTAATCATAATTTTAATAATATTTAATAGTAACTATATTATATGAAATTGTAGTATATATAATTATAATTTTTGGAATATATTGTATTATATGTACTATATAATATGTTATTTTAATTTATATGTACTGGTAATCTTTTTAATAGATACAATATAAAATACTGTACACTATATAATATAATTATATTATTATATATAATTATAATTTTGATTGTATACTATATTATATATATAGTATAACATACTGTTATATATAATATTATTTTATTTTAGATGTAATCATAATTTTAATAAATATAACATTAAATACACAATATAATACAATATTGTGTAATTGGGAGGGGATACAAGCCTTTCCCAGTGGAAAGTGAAACCCTAAAATTGCATCATTTCCTTGCCATGCAAAATATGCCATGCTTTGAAAGCAGGAAATCGATGCCATAAGAGCAAGAAAATCAGATCCCGTTCCGGTCTGCAATGAATGGACGCTTGGAATGCTTCAGCATGGGTGGACGTTGGCCAAATGGTCAGTCTCCCTTTTGTATGCCCAGTGTTATTATCCTGCAACACCTTGCCGTTTCCTGACACTCGCTTTCCAAAATCTGATGCATCATCCAAGGTAGGAGAGATTTGCAATGGCTAGGGGTGCATCTCTGCTGTCAAATTAATACATTTTGATACCACTTTAAGTACTGTGGCCCAAGTAACTGATATTTTGGGTTTTTAACTATTGAAATGGATAGTATTGGATAGATTGATAAGATATTCCGTCCCTTGTAGTAACTTCAGGTAACTTTGTTGTCGAGTTGCTGTGAGTTTTCTGGTCTGTCTAGCCATGTTGCAGAAGCATTCTCTCCTGACGTTTTGCCTGCTTCTATGGCAGGCACCCTCAGCGGTTGTGAGGTATGTTGGAAACTAGGAAAATTGGGTTTATATAACTGTGGAATATCCATGGTGGGAGAAGGAATTCTTGTCTGTTTGAGGCAAGTATGAATGTTGCAATTGAGGACCTAGATTAGCACTGAATAGCTTTGCAATGTCAAAGCCTGGCTGCTTCCTGCCTGGGGGAATCCTTTGTTGGGAGGTGTTAGTTTTCCCTGATTGTTTCCTATTGGATTTCCCATATTTCAGAGTGTTGCTGGCATCAAAGCCTGGCTGCTTCTCGCCTGGGGGGAATCCTTTGTTGGGAGGTGTTAGCTGTCCCTGATTGTTTCCTGTCTGGAATCCCCATATTTCAGAGTGTTACTCTTTATTTACTATCTTGTTTTTGGAGTTTTTTTTTAATACTGGTAGCCAGATTTTGTTTATTTTCATGGTTTCCTCTTTTCTGTTGAAATTGTCCACATGCATTGTCGAAGGTTTTCATGGCCGGAATCACTGGGTTGTTGTAGGTTTTTCAGACTATATGGCCATGTTCTAGAGGCATTTTCTCCTGACGTTTCGCCTGCATCTATGGCAAGCATCCTCAGAGGTAGTGAGGTCTGTTGGGACTAGGAAAATGGGTTTATATATCTGTGGAAAAACCAGGGTGGGACAAAGAACTCTTGTGTGTTGGAGCTAGGTGGGAATGTTTCAACTGACCACCTTGATTAGCAGTGCCTGGGGCAATCTTTTGTTGAGAGGTGATTAGATATCCTTGTTTGTTTCAGCAGAGCACCTGTTCTGGAACAACTGTTCCAGGAGCTCCAATTTTATTTCTTTGAATTAAATGTTGGTTTGCAATCCAAGGCTTGGGATTTTGCAGCAGGGTGGCTTCCTGTTATAATTTGCATTCATAGGACAAGCCACCTGTCAATAACAGTTAGGTTCCCTGGTCCTTCCCCTCTCTGGGTTTTTTGGAGGGAAGGGGCCATTTTTCAGTCAGTCTCAAAAAGGAAGTCAATGCAGAGGATGTACACAAACGTCCTCCTGTGCAAAGGCTTCGTCTCTTAAGACTTCCTTGGGGACAACAGTTTTAAGAGCCTCTACAGATTCCCAAAAGGTTCCAGGGAAACAGCTTTACAGCCCTGAAGACTTCCGGAGGGAATAACAGCTCTGCTCATCTACCAGCTAAGTGACTACAGGCCTGTTGATATGTCTGCTCGGTTCTGAGACGCAGTTCAGCCGGTAGTGGACTCAAATCAGTCAGGTTTAGGTTCACAGCAGCCTGGGAGGAGCTAAAAAGGGGAATTTTCCTTTTAACAAAGTTCTTGAAGATAGTGCCTGTTTCCTGTAAACAAGATTGCAAGAGCTAATAGACTGTTAAGCCTGTTTGTTCATTAATAAAGAACTGTTATATTTTAAGCTCAAGCCTCATAAAGACTGCTTAATAAGGGAAATTTTCCTAAAGGCTTCTTTTCGGGGCCCCTGTCTTCCTGCCGGATGCAAGTCTAACATGCTCTCTTAAAAACACCTCATTTCGGCTCCAGTGGCGACAGAACAGCACCCGATGAACCAAGCTGGACACAGCATATTATTGGAGGAATGCTGGACCACAAAGCCTAGAGAAGAGAATGATGCTGTGGAAAGTGGAAGGCAAAAGGAAGAGGGGCCGACCAAGGGCAAGATGGATGGATGCCATCCTTGAAGTGACTGGACTGACCTTGAAGGAGCTGGGGGTGGTGACGGCCGACAGGGAGCTCTGTGCGTGGGATGGTCCATGAGGTCACGAAGAGTCGGAGACGACTGAACGGATGAACAACAAAAGTTGATCATAACAGTGACTACTACACTATGTAACACATTTTTGAAAAAAAATATGTACCTGGTTTGAAAGTGTTATTTCCTGTTTAATAGTACGGTCTTTACTTTGAAAGGAGTTGTTCTACTCTAGAAACTTTGTTTTTGTGGCTGAGGTTAGCACTTTCGTATTGTCGAAGGCTTTCATGGCCGGAATCACTGGGTTGTTGTAGGTTTTTTCGGGCTGTATGGCCATGGTCTAGAGGCATTCTCTCCTGACATTTCACCTGCATCTATGGCAAGCATCCTCAGAGGTAGTGAGGTCTGTTGGAAGTAGGAAAAAGGGTTTATATATCTGTGGAATGACCAGGGTGGGAAAAGGACTCTTGTCTTCTGGAGCTAGGTGTGAATGTTTCAACTGACCACCTTGATTAGCATTTGAAGGCCTGCATGAGTCTGTGTTGTAGGTTTTTTCGGGCTATATGGCCATGGTCTAGAGGCTGATGAACCAACCTGGACACAGCATATTATTTGATAATACATACACTCTCACAACCACCATGTCAGACTACACAGAGAAGCCATTGAAATCCACAAGCATGTGGACAATTTCAACAGAAAGGAGGAAACCATGAAAATGAACAAAATCTGGCTACCAGTATTAAAATCTCTAAAATTACAACAGCAAAACAGCAGAGAGGAAACAAACAAGGACATCTAATCACCTCTCAACAAAAGATTTCCCCAGGCACTGCCAGGCCATCAAATGCTAATCAAGGTGGTCAGTTGAAACATTCACACCTAGCTCCAACAGACAAGAGTCCTTTGTCCCACCCTGGTCATCCACAGATATATAAACCCATTTTCCTAGTTCCAACAGACCTCACTACCTTTGAGGATGCTTGCCATAGATGCAGGCGAAACGTCAGAAGAGAACATGGCCATATAGCCCGAAAAAACCTACAACAACCCACTGTCCACATGCATCTTGTGGATTTCAATGGCTTCTCTGCGTAGCCTGACATGGTAGTTGTTGGAGTGGTCCAGCATGTCTACATTCTCAAATAATCTGTCCAGATTGGTTCATCAAGTGCTCAGCTATGGCTGACTACTCTGGTTGAGTTAGTCTGCAGTGCCTTTCATGTTCTTTGCTTTGTGCTTGGTCAATGCTGCTGCGTTTGATGGTCCCTATGTAGACTTGTCCACAGCCGCATAGTATACAGTAGACTCATGCAGAGGTGAGAAGATCCCTTTTTTCCTTTGCTGACCGTAGCATTTGTTGGATTTTCCTAGTGGGTCTGTAGATAGTTTGCATGCTGTGTTTCCTCATCAGCTTCCCTCTGCGGTCAGTGGTTCCCTTGATGTATGGCAAGAACACTTTCCCTCTGGGTGGATCTTTGACTTGACTCTCGTGGCTTGTTCTTGGTCTTGCAGCTTATTCCCATATTTGATGATTGGGCTGGGGTTCTACGTATACCATTTCCAAATACATTTACTTTCTAATTCTTTATCCTTCTCTGTTGTAATTTTACTTTGGAAGAAGCATGTCCTTTACATTTCTCCTAAATCTCATCTCTCCAGGTGGGAAGAGGAGAAGCGTCAGGATGGGGCGAAGTGGCACCAGCTGCAACACAAAGGACCTTATTTTGCTCCACCTTATGAACGTCTTCCAAATGGCGTCAAGTTCTATTACGATGGTGAGAAATCTTGATTTTTCTAACAGGATGAAAATATTGCGTGCATCAGGTCCCAAAGGAGAGTGCCAAAGCGGTACCTATTGATCTACTCACAATTGCATGTTTTCAAACTGCTAGGTTGGCAGGAGCTGGGGCTAACAACAGGAGCTCAGTGGATTTGAACCGCTAACCTTCTGATCAGCAAGTTGTGCAGCTTAGCAGTTTAACCAGCTGCATCAATGCAGCTCCTAACTCACAGCATACAAATACTAAAATAGAATTAAACATAGGTAAAGGTAAAGGATTTCTCCTGACATTAAGTCCAGTCGTATCCGAATCTGGGGGTTGGTGCTCATCTCCATTTCTAAGCCAAAGAGCTGGCGTTGTCCGTAGACACCTCCTAGGTCATGTGGCCGGCATGATTGCATGGAGCGTCGTTACCTTCCCGCCAAAACGGTACCTATTGATCTACTCGCATTTGCATGTTTTCGAACTGCTAGGTTGGCAGAAGCTGAAGCTGACAGCGGAAGCTCACACCACTCCCCGGATTCGAACCTGCGACCTTTCGGTCAGCAAGCTCAGCAGCGCAGCGCTTTAATGCACTGCGCCACCGGGAGCTCCAGAATTAAACATACAAGTCATTAAAATCACTGAATGCAAAATTGCATGTTTTCAAACTGCTAGGTTGGCAGGAGCTGGGACTAACAACAGGAGCTTACCCCGGTCGTGGATTTGAACCGCTGATCTTCTGATCAGCAAATTCTACAGCTTAGCAATTTAACCCACTGCACCAACACAGCCCCCAACTCACAGCATACAAATATTAAAATAGAATTAAACATATAAGTCAATTAGAATCACTTAATGTAGAATACCCAGGGTTTATAGCCATTCAGATCAATTAGCATATTTATTGCCCTGATGTGTGATATTTAGTATACATTTTTAAACTGCCTAATGAGTTAAAACTGTCTAATGAGTTAAATCGATAGGTAAACAAAGTAACTTTGAATTTGTTTTAATGGTTTTTAACTTGGAATTATTAATATTATTTATATTTATTCCTGTTTTAAGGTTTGCATATTGGTATATGCTAATGCTTTTATGTTAAGATGTGTTGAGTCTCCTTCGGGAGAGATAAATAGGAGTATAAATAAATAAATAGAATAATAATAATTGGGTTGTTGTAGGTTTTTTCGGGCTATATGGCCATGTTCTAGAGGCATTCTCTCCTGACGTTTCACCTGCATCTATGGCAAGCATCCGCAGAGGTAGTGAGGTCTGTTGGAACTAGGAAAATGGGTTTATATATCTGTGGAATGACCAGGGTGAGACAAAGGACAAAGGAATCTGGCTGCCAGTATTAAAAAAACCTCTAAAATTACAACAGCACAACAACAGAGAGGAAACAAACAAGGATATCTAATCACCTCTCAACTAAAGTTTGCTCCAGGCACTGCCAGGCAATTAAATGCTAATGAAGGTGATCAGTTGAAACATTCACACCTAGCTCCAGCAGACAAGAGTCCTTTGTCTCACCCTGGTCATTCCACAGATATATAAACCCTTTTTCCTAGTTCCAACAGACCTCACTACCTCTGAGGATGCTTGCCATAGATGCAGGTGAAACGTCAGGAGAGAATGCCTCTAGACCATGGCCATATAGCCTGAAAAAACCTACAATAACCCAGTGATTCCGGCCATGAAAGCCTTCGACAATACAACAACAACAATAATAATAATAATAATAATAATAATAATAATAATAATAATCTGCTGTGGACTCATCCTGTTGTTCCTAATAATAATAATAATAATAATTATTATTATTATTATTATTATAATTATTATAATGTAAGTGGACAGCAGCCAAACTTACTTATGGAGGGATGATGGCATCATCCATCCTAATTAATTCTGACTTTGTAATATATTCAGCAAAATAAGAACTGAAGGCCTTTTAGGAGAAAAGATGGAAGAACTGCGACGCACCCACTTCCTTGCTATAGAAAAGTCTTCTGCAAGGTTTCCCGTACAGATAGAGGTGAATGAGAGAAGCGAACTCGATTTTGGCTGAGTTTAGGAACAGGGAATTGGTTGATACATTACATTGAGAAATGGCCGTTGTCCTTCTTCCTAGGTAAACCAATGAAGCTCAGTCCCGCTGCCGAAGAGGTAGCAACGTTCTTTGCAAAGATGCTGGACCACGAATGCACAGCCAAAGCTGCCTTCCGGAGGAACTTCTTCAATGACTGGACCAAGGTATTTGGCTGGTTATGTTGTAGCTCAGCTAGCTGAGGATGAGAATGAGGGGTTTGGTGTAGTTCAGCCAGCTGTGGATGATGATGAGGGGTTTCGGGGTGCAGGGTCTGCAAGACCTGATGCTTCTGGAGATGCTCAGACAGAAGGGATGTTAGAACAGGATGGTGATTCCCTGGTTAGGAGAATGGAGGGTGATTTGGGTGGTTCTCTGTGTGAAAGCGGAACTGTTTTAGAAACTGACAGGCAGAGAAGGGAGGTTAGATAGAGAATCAAGGCTGCTGAATTCCAGGTGCAAGCCAGGCCGTGGGAAAGTGAGACTGAGAGAGACTACTCAAGGCCGAAGCAATGCTTTTGTGCTGGTACGGCTGTACCAGGAGCTCCAACTTTATTTGCTTTGTATTAAATGTTTGCTTGCAGTCCAAGGTTTCAGGGTTCTGCAGATAGGTGGCTTCCTTTGGTTGCAGTCGTAGGGCAAGTCACCTGTCCATCATCGTTAAGTTTTGGTCCCGCCCCTTGCTCAGGGCAATTGGGAAGGGAAGGGAGCCATTTTTAGTTAGTCTCAGCAAGGAAAGCTAATGACCAGGACGTGTGCAAGCTTCCCCTGTACAAAAGCTTCAACCCTTAAGACTTTCTGGGGGGAAACTGTCTTAAGAGTCTCCAAAGATTTCCAGGGAAACAGCCCTAAAGATCAAAGAACTCCAGCTGGAGAATATCTAAACCTTTACTGGTAGGTCCACTCGGTGTTTTGAGACGCAGTTCGACCCGGTAGTGGAGCCCACATCAGTAAGGGTTAGATTACAGTCAGCCTGGGAGAAGTTAAAAAGGGGATTTTCCTTTAAAGTAAAGAAGAAGTTATTGAAGACAGTTGCCTGTCCTTCGTGGGCAAGATTAGGAAGCCACCAGTTGCATAAAGCTTGGAAGCATTTGTTTAGCTTTATTGAAGACAAGAGAAGTTTCTGTTTGATTGTTCATTAATAAAAGACTGTTATACTTCACAAGCCATCTAAAGATCATTTGTGGTGGAAAACCTCTGAGAACTTCTCCTTGGGGCCCCTGGCTTCCCGCTGGGCAAAGGTTGCACGTCCTGTTCTAAAGGAAATTCTTTACAGGCCCTGCGCGCGACAGAACAGCTTTCATTCATTGTTGTCCGTAATTAGGGAAAGAATAGCTTTCAGTTCTCAGATGGAGCCCCCGGTGGTGTAGTGGGTTAAACCCCTGTGCTGGCAGGCCTGAAGACCGACAGGTCACAGGTTCGAATCCGGGAAGAGCGCGGATGAGCTCCCTCTATCAGCTCCAGCTCCTCATGCGGGGATATGAGAGAAGCTTCCCACAAGGATGATAAAAACATCAAAACATCCAGGCATCCCCTGTTAATGTAAGTTTAGTGTAATGTGAATGTTTAAATGTAATTTTGTGCATTGCCTGTGAATGTAACCTGATTGCATTACCAAAGAGTGTATTGACACTGGAAGGGTTAAACAGTCAAGCCTCTAATGAACTGTGAAGATGTGACCCTGAGTGTGCCTGGAATGCGTAGGGAGGATCCAGAGATAAGGTTTCGTTCCTCCTCTTTTCTTCGGCTGTTAAATAGCCCAGCTTACTGTTCACCTAAGCAGTTTGAAAACAGTTGTGCTGTGAATAGAGAAATTAGGGATTGCTTAAAGCGGGGAGATTAGTTTATGACAACATAGGAGGAAATACTACGACCACAAAGGCTCGGCGTCATAGCAGATGAAGTGACAGCTCTCCCTGTGGTCGAATCGAGCAACCTCCAGGATCCGAAGTGGAAGAAACTGCTGAATAACCTCTATCTGTCTGTATGTCTTGTATGTCAGAAATGGCATTGAATGTTTGCTGTGAATGTGTGCATTGTGATCTGCCCTGAGATCCTTTTGGGGTGAAAAGGGCGGAATATAAATACTGTTAATAAATAAATAAGGTGTGCGCACATGTTGTCTAAATGACCCTTTTGGGAATGTGAAAGTAACCTGAGAGTGTATCTACACCAAGCATGGGCAAACTTCGGCCCTAAAGGTGTTTTGGACATCAACTCCATCAATTGGATTCAACTCCTAATCCATCTAAAACACAGGCATGTGCTTTTCACCTTAAGAGCAGACAAGCATCCCAAGCTCTGAGGATCATCTGGGAAGGAATCCCACTGGAGCACTGCAGCGCACCCAAATACCTGGGAGTCACTCTGGACCGTGCTCTGACCTACAAGAAGCACTGCCTGAACATCAAGCAAAAAGTAGGTGCTGGAAACAATATCATACGAAAGCTGACTGGTGCAACCTGGGGATCACAACCAGACACAGTGAAGACATCTGCCCTTGTGCTATGCTACTCTGCTGCTGAGTATGCATGCCCAGTGTGGAACACATCTCACCACACTAAAACAGTGGATGTGACTCTTAATGAGACATGCCACATTATCATAGGGTATCTGCGCCCTACACCACTGGATAAATTACACTGTTTAGCCGGTATTGCACCACCTGACATCCGCCGGGAAGTAGCAGCCAATAGTGAAAGGACCAAGGCCGTGACATCTCCAGCTCATCCCTTGTTTGGGTATCAGTCAGCACGTCAACGACTTAAATCAAGAAATAGTTTTCTAAGATCTACAGAGACACTCGCTGGAACACCTCAGCAAGCGAGAGTCCAAAAGTGGCAGGCTCAAACCCAGAACCTCAATCAATGGCTGATACCAAATGAGAGCCTCCCTCCTGGGCACACAGAAAACTGGGCGACTTGGAAGGTGCTGAACAGACTGCGCTCTGGCACCACGAGATGCAGAGCCCACCTTAGGAAATGGGGCTACAAAGTGGAATCCATGACATGCGAGTATGGAGAAGAGCACACTACAGACCACCTGTTTGTTTGTTAAAAATGCAATACAACTGTTTGGTCTGCTCCTGACACGATAAATAAAGAAATAAGTAGGCTGTTAGGAATTTTGGGAGTTAAAGTCCAAAACTCATGGAGGGCCGAAGTTTGCCCATGCCTATCTACACTGTAGAATGAATGCAGTTTGACACTTGCTTTGTTTGCTCAATGCTATGGAATCCTAGGAGTCGTAGCTTCAATAAGCCTTCTCTGCCAATGAGGGCTGGTGCCACACCAAACTACAAATCGCAGGACCATCTATACTACCCCTTTCTTTTTCCCATAGGAGATGACGCCAGGAGAGAGGTGCAAAATTAAAGATCTGCGGAAGTGCGACTTCAGAGAGATCCACCAGTATTTTGTCGAGAAAAGTGAATCCCAGAAAGCTCTGTCCAAAGAACAAAAACAGGTATAACTTAATATTATATAGTATCATTAATATTATATCTATTTGAATTAGAATTACATTATATATAATAGTTTATTATACTATGTAGTATACATAATGCAACATTCTATGAAAATTATTACTATATAATGATATATAATTTTATGTGTTATAGTGTATTTAATATAGCTAATAAAATTAAAATTATACATAAATAAGAATATATTATATATAATAGTATATTATATACTGGGGCTGCGGTGATGCAGCAGGTTAAACCGCTGAGCTGCTGAACTTGTGGACTGGAAGGTTGGCGGTTTGAATACGTGGAATGGGGTGAGCTCCTACTGTTAGCCCCAGCTCCTGCCAACCTAGCAGTTCAAAAACATGCAAGTGTGAGTAGATCAATAGGTATGGCTTCTTCAGGAAGGTAATGCTGCTCCATTAAGTCACGCTGCCCAGATGACCTTGGAAGTGTCTGTGGACAACGCCGGCTCTTCAGCTTGGAAATGGAGATGAGCGCCACTCCCAAAAGTCAGATGTGATTAGATATTAATGTTAAGGGGAAACCTTTACCTTACTATATACTATATATAATATGATACACTATAGCATATTATAATTATATATATTATAATATAGTGCTATATTATATAGTATATTTAATATTATATCTATTAAAATTAGAATTATACATAAATAATATAATATATGCTATATAATATATATAATGCAGTATACTATGAAAATGATATTTTTATATAATAATTTAAAAGTATATAGTATATTTAATATAATATCTATTAAAATTAGAATTGAACATACATAAAATACAGTATTGTAAGACTGTAGGATCTATATAGCAATATTAATTGACCACTCACAAGCCGGTTTTGCTTTGAAATTGATATATTGCTTGTATCTCTGCAGCAAAGAAATACACTACTGACTTTTTCCCACCATCACTTCCTTTTATACACCTTTCCTTCCCATCTCCCCCCTCTTGAGAGAGAATTGAGTCAGCTAGGATGATTCAGTCAGAATGTCACGGAGGGAATTTGTGATGTCTTCATGCCATCAGAAATTGACTCCTGACATGTATATATAATACAATATACTATAGTATTTATAATTATATATATTATAATGTAATTTATATGAGACACTATATTTAATATATCTATTCAAAGTACACATGCATAAAATAATATGAGGGGTATTTTTTAAGTAAGGTCCGTTGGAACATAAGTACACAACGAAAGTTTATTTCAAAAAAGTAAATTTATTTTCAGAAAGTACATACTTCACTCTATTTTCGACATAGTTGCCAAGTTTGTTCAAACACTTATCATACCTCTGAACCAATTTTAAAATACCCTCTTCATAAATCCTCGCTTCAACTGAAGCCACCAAATCATCTGTAATCAAAGAAGGGCGACCGGAGCGGTCCTCATCATGGACGTTGTCACGACCATCTTTGAATTGTCGTACCCACTTACGCACTTTGCTTTCACTCATAACAGTATCACCGTACACTTCACAAATCTGTCGATGAATTTCTGCAGCAGGCAGGTTCCTTGCTGACAAAAACCGTATCACTGAGCGAACCTCACATGCGGAGGGTGAGTTGATAGTCTTAAACATTTTTAAAGCACAGAACAGAACCGTACAGGTGAGCTACAGAGCGGAAACTGAGCACAGTTGTTCCCGAGGCATGCCGGTACACGACGCACACGCTCGTTGCGGTATGCGCGCAAACTACTAGTGTCTATAACAAAATGGACCTTACTTAAAAATACCCCTCGTATATCATATAATGGTATGTTACGCAGTTTCTCAATTCGCTCCTGACACGAAAAAGTATATTGTGATATATAATGTATATAATACAATATACTGTGAGAATTATAATTATATATATTATAATATAATGTTAAAGTATTATTTATTATTATTTATTTCGAGGTTTTATATACCGACCTTCTCACCTTCAAAGAGGGATTCGGACCGGTTCACAACATGTGCTAACATACAAAGAATATACAATAACAACACAATGCCACTTCATTACACAATTAAAATATCAGCACCATACACATTAAAACATTATCATCACAGTTAAAAGAGCCAAATCGTCCAACACCATCACAATCCCATTCATCATCCTCCTTTCATGTGGGCAAAGAATTAAATCAGTTGTCAAATGCCGCGTTCCACAACCAGGTCTTTGTTAGTTTCCTGAACGTCATGAGGGAGGGGACAGTTCTGATCTCTAATGGCAGGGAGTTCCAAAGTCGAGGGGCCACCATCGAGAAGGCCCTGTCCCTCGTCCCCACCAGCCGTGCTTGTGCAGGCGGTGGGACCGAGAGCAGGGCCCCTCCAGACGATCTTAGTGGTCTTGATGGTTCGTAGGGGAGAATACGTTCGGAGAGGTAAACAGGGCCGGAGTCGTTTAGGGCTATACTATATTTAATATTATATCTATTAGAATTACACATAAATAAAATGATATATTATTGTATATTGTAGTATACTATGCTATATAGAATATATAATACAATATACTATAAAAGTGGGATGACAAGACGATGTGACGTAAAATGATTCTGACGATGAGACACTGAGAATTGTATTTTATGGTTTTAATTGCTAATTGTTTATTGTTTTTACATGGTTATTTTATATGTAATTGTTTTGACTGTATTTTTATCTTGTGGGGCATTGATTGCCAAATGTAAGCCGCCTCGAGTGACCTTCGGGCTGAGAGGGGCGGTATCAAATATAGTAAATAAATAAATACTGTGGCATGTAAATAGTTAAAGAAATAAGAAACCATGTATTTATTATGTATTTTAATAAAAATGAATTTGTTATATATGTGTATGTGTATACTTTAAAAAATCAGAAATTGAAAGCGGAGGCAGAGAGAATCCAGGAGGAATATGGCTACTGCATCATTGACGGGCACCGGGAGAAGATTGGCAACTTTAAGACGGAGCCTCCGGGTCTCTTCCGGGGCCGCGGAGCCCACCCCAAGATGGGGAAGCTCAAGAAGCGGATCCAGCCGGAAGATGTCATCATCAACTGCAGCAGGTAGAGCCGCTCCGAGTCGCCTCTGGGCTGAGAGGGGTTGTATATAAATATAGTAAACTAGCCATGCCCTGCCACGCATTGCTGTGGCCCACATGGGGGTTCTGTGTGGGATGTTTGGCCCAATTCTATCGTTGATGGGGTTCAGAATGCTCTTGTGATTGTAGGTGAACTATAAATCCCAGCAACTACAACTCCCAAATGTCAAGAATCTATTTCCCCCAAACTCCACCAGTGTTCACATTTGGGCATATTGAGTATTCTTGTAGAGTTTGGTCCAGATCATTGTTTGAGTCCACAGTGATCTCTGGATGTAGGTGAACTACAACTCCAAAACCAAAGGACACTGCCCACCAAACCCTTCCAGTATTTTCTGTTGGTCTTGGGAGAACTGTGTGCCAAGTTTGGTTCAATTCCATCGTTGGTGGGGTTCAGAATGCTCTTTGATTGTAGGTGAACTATAAATCCCAGCAACTACAACTCCCAAATGACAAAATCATTTTTTTGAGTGAAGGACATACATTGGGTTGTTAGGTGTCCTGTGTCCAAATTTGGTGTCAATTCGTCCAGTGGTTTTTGAGTTCTGTTAATCCCACAAACGAACATTACATTTTGAAATTGAAATTTCAATTTCAAAAGCCATTGAAATCCACAAGCATGTGGACAATTTCAACAGAAAGGAGGAAACCATGAAAATGAACAAAATTTGGCTACCAGTATTAAAAAACCCTAAAATTACAACAGCACAACAACAGAGAGGAGACAAAAAAGGGCATCTAATCACCTCTCAACAAAAGTTTGCTCCAGGCACTGTCAGGCCATTATATGCTAATCAAGGTGGTCAGTTGAAACATTCACACCTAGCTCCAGCAGACAAGAGTCTTTTGTCCCACCCTGGTCATTCCACAGATATATAAACCCCTTTGCCTAGTTCCAACAGACCTCACTACCTCTGAGGATGCTTGCCATAGATGCAGGCGAAACGTCAGGAGAGAATGCCTCTAGACCATGGCCATAAGCCCGAAAAACCTTACAACAACCCATTACATTTTTATTTATATAGTAAATAAATAAATAAATAGGTGTCAGCTTCGTAGCTACGGATCAGGGCAATTTTGCTGCCAGTGCCTCTGTTCAGAAGATATCACCTCACTTTGTGTCCCTGTGAGAAATGGATTTGGAAACATCGGACTTGTTGTGAAAGCTGTGATCTGGAAAGCAGGGAAATAGGGACAGGAAGAGCCCGAAACCCTTGTTGTAGTCCCACTAATGTTTTTAAACTTGATTATATGTGTTTCTTTTTTCTACTTCAAGGGATTCAAAGATCCCTCGTCCTCCTCGAGGCCACAAATGGAAAGAAGTGAGAAGTGACAACACCGTCACCTGGCTGGCATCGTGGACGGAGAATATTCAAGGGTCCATAAAATACGTTATGCTGAACCCCAGTTCGAAGTTGAAGGTGGGGATGATATGCCTTCCCTTTGGGAAGTATTTTCCCCAAAACACTCTCTCTTGTTCAAGACTGAACAACTCACTTTGTGAGTGATTCTGTTTTGCTGCAGAATCTTTATTGAACCTAGAATTTGTTTTGTCCTATTAATCTCAGCAGCTCCCCTCTATGTTCATGAATAGCTATAGTTCCAGATTTGCATCTTGCACAAGGAAATCCATGCATTCCAAAGGCATGCTGCTGGAGACCTACTTAATGGAAAATGATTATTTGGAGACAGCAATAGCTTGTTGTTACATAACCTGTGATGGCACACCCAAGCCTATGGGAAAACTATAGTGTTTGGTTTTACTTGAGGGCTATCTGTATACCTTCTGTTAAGATTAAGACCCTTAGCAGACTGAGGCAGTTTAGGCAAGGTGGAAAGATGAGTTTACTGCAAACAAGATGAATAAAGGGTTAACTCCACCTGGATTATCATAAGGTAACTTAAAACAATACATTACAAAAGGAGCCTTTGCTGGCTGCAGTCTTCTCTCTGGAGTCTTCTGCCTCTGCTGCAAAGTGATGGTTATAAATCTCAGTACCTTGGAAAGTCTGATCTGGCCACGGTGGTCCACGCTCTGGTTACATCCCGTATAGACTACATGGGGTTGCCTTTGAAGACTGCCCAGAAGCTACAACTAGTCCAACGAGCGGCACCCAGACTACTAACAGGAGTGGGGTACAGGGGTACAGGGAGCATACTACTCCTCTGTTATGTCAGCTCCACTGGCTGCCAATCAGTTTCCGAGCACAATTCAAAGTGCTGGTGTTGACCTATAAAGCCCTAAACGACTCCTGCCCAATTTACCTGTCCGAACGGATTCTCCCCTATGAACCATCAAGATTATTAAGATCTTCTGGAGGGGCCTTGCTCTCGGTCCCACCACCCTCGCAATCGCGTCTGGTGGGGACGAGGGACAGGGCCTTCTCGGTGGTGGCCCCTCGGCTCTGGAACTCTCTCCCACTGGGGATTAGAACTGCCCCTTCTCTCCTGACTTTTAGAAAGCTGGTGAAAACTTGGCTCTGGAATTTGGCATTCGATGAGTGAATAACTCTAGACCACTCGGACAGATGATGATGAATTGTGATTTCATTCTGATGACTTGGCCTTATGTAATTATATGATTGTATTTTAATGTATTTTATATATTAGTCCATTATGTTGTGTGATACTTTAAACTATTGTTTATGAATCTTTTGTTGTGAACCGGCCTGAGTCCCTCTGCAAAGGTCGAGAAGACCGGTATATAAAAGTTCTAAATATAAATAAATAATAAATAAATCTTCTTTCTTGGGAAGTATAAGCTGGTCATAAGCTTCTGTTGTCCTTTGGACTGTCTTGTGAAGCATAAGTGTTGCACCCAGAGTAGGAACAGGACCCTCTAATCATTAATTACACCACACTTTGGATGAAATAATTGGAGCCAATAAAAGAGATTAATATAAAGTTGATAAAAGTGCAAAGGCAAAAAGCCAAATAAGCAGTAACATAATCAGTGTCCAAACATAGGAATAATATCAAAGATCCAAACACTTGCTATTTAAATCCAGATGCAAAGAAATATCAAATGCCTTCTATAAAAACCATGAACATAGCCACTGCTAATCCATTTGAAAAAGCCAGGAAAACTAGGAGACGAGGCCACAAGAATATCCAAAAGACTTGACTTGAAACCAAACGATGTCTGGTCTGAAGGAAATTCCATAAGAGCTCAATTTAAGTCCCAGAAACTGATTTCTACTCCCCCCAGTCTTTCACCTTAATTGCCGAATTCTTTCTGACCTGCATAAACATTGGGCCTCTCTACGGTTCTGGCTAATTTCCAGACGGTGACTAGTCTTATCTATCTCTTCATTAACTGCAGGTGTGAAACTATCTTGCAGACTTGAGCCTGGAGAAGGGAGTGAACTTTCAAGCCTGGAATTTTCTCATGAGAACTTAGCCTTTCCCTTGACCCTTCTCGATCAGAGTCTGTAGTAACCTTATTGTCCAAAGAGTCTCCATTTTGCACCTCATCTTCATTGACATCCAAGACAGGCGCAGAAGCATTAGAAGGGGGAAACACTATAACAGATTCAGGGTGAAACACAGACTGAGTCCCTACAATAAGCTGGTCATAAGCTTCTGTTGTCCATTGGACTGGTGGTATAAAAATACTGCCGAATACAGGTGCTAAGGATGCCTGTTTTTGGATTGCTAGGCCTAGGATTACCAGACAATGCTCCAAGCCTCTAGTGACTGTAGAAAAAAGAGTCCAGCAAGAGAGCTCTATACTGGCAAATGGCATAGACCAACTAATGCTGGCCTCTGGGGGGATTTTAAGCTCCACTCAAATCTAATACAAAGGAAGGTATCTAAACAATTGGAAAAACCTATGAACAGGGGGAACTGAAGCAGAGGAGAGGAAAAGGCAGAGCCAAGACTTCACATCTCCCCTCCCATCGCTCTTTCCCCAGGGAGAAAAGGACTGGCAGAAGTACGAAGTGGCCCGCTGCTTGAAAGGGGTGGTCAAAAAGATCCGCTCTCAGTACCGAGCTGAATGGAAATCCAAAGAGATGAAGAAGCAGCAGAGATCGGTGGCACTCTACTTCATTGACAGGGTAAGGGGATGTGTGCTTTTTTTGTAGAATCGTAGGCTTGTAAAACTAGAACTCCCACACTTCTATTCCATTGAGCCATAATTTTACAACATAGGTCGGCCATGGGCAAACTTTAGCCCTCCTGTTAGGAATTGTGGAAATTGAAGTCCAAAACCCCTGGAGGGCTGAAGCTTGCTCGTGCCTTTTGGTTGAAAGTTACCTGATTGTTAGTAGCCCGCAGAATGTCTCAGTCCCTTTTACGCTCTCTACGTGGGGTTGCCCTTGAAGACTGTTCGGATACTTCAACTAGTCCAGCGAGCGGCAGCCAGATTGCTCACCGGGACGACATACAGGGAGCATACCACCCCCCTGCTATGCCAGCTCCACTGGCTGCCGGTTCAGTTCCGAGCACAATTCAAGGTGCTGGTCTTGACCTATAAAACCCTGTACGGTTCCGGTCCAGTGTATCTGTCCGAACGTATCTCCCTCTACGTCCCACCTCGGAGTCTGAGATCATCTGGGGAGGCCCTGCTCTCGACCCCACCACTGTCACAAGTGAGGCTGGTGGGGACGAGGAGCAGGGCTTTCTCAGTGGTGGCCCCTCACCTGTGGAACTCACTCCCGGGGGAAATCAGGGCATCATCATCCCTCCTCTCCTTCAGGAGGAGGGTGAAGACATGGTTATGGGACCAGGCCTTTGGGCAACCAGGCAATTAAATAAGACAATCTGACGAGTAAGACCAGCAGGATTGACGAAATGGTATCAAAAGCAGATCTATGAGTCAGCAAACACTGACAATGTAAGAGAGGAATTGGGTTTGTATTGATTTTATAGATTTTACTGATTTTATTGGAATAATGCACGAACTGTTGGTAATTGTGAACTTATTGTAATTTGTGATGATTGTTGTGCTGCAGGCATCTAATCATGCCTTTACTGTGTAAGCCGCCCTGGGTCCCCTTCGGGGTGAGAAGGGCGGGGTAAAAGAACCCCAAATAAATTAATAAATAATAAATACTCTCATTGTGAAAAACTAAAAAAAAAACCCCCAAAACCCCAAACGAATCTGTTGCTTTAAGTAGAAACAAAAACATAGTTCTATTCACTGTTGATCAAAAATACAAAGCAAAGCAGAAGAATTGTTCTCACCAATATACAACAAACAATATATCTGGTGAGTTGTCTTCTTTACACGACGATATGCAAACACATTGCAAAAAAATACAGTTTCTTTACTTAGTTATTAGTACTTAGTTAGAATGTCCTTATCTTGCCATAAACAAGCAGTTTCCTTGGCACTCCAAACTGCTTCAGTCTTCAGTTTCAGGGCGTGCATAACCCCTCCCAGCAACAGTCCAAGGTTTCTTCCGCTGAAACGAGCCATCAAGCTAAGCCAAATGCAAAGCTCAAAGCTTGCAAACCTAGTGCCTTGGTATATGCTGAAGGAGAGAACAGATCCAGTTAACTTGTGGCAACTGTAACAGAAAAGGTTCTGATCATCTCCCTTACTTAGAAAAAACCTGATGTGAATCTCTAGTAGCAGCAATCAACAGGGTAAGGGAGGGGGTGCTTTTTTGTAGAATCGTAGGCTTGTAAAACTGTTGCATTGAGCCATAATTCTCCAGTGTAGGTCAGGCATGGTCAAACTTCAGCCCTCCAGGGGTTTTGAACTTCAACCCCCACAATTCCTAACAGCCTACAGCGAAGCTAACAGCGAAGTTTTGTTATTGTTGTTGTTGTTTATTTTGTTGTTGTTGTTTATTTTGTTATTGTTGTTCCTAACAGCGAAGTTTTGTTATTGTTGTTGTTGTTTATCTCCTTCCAGCTGGCCTTAAGAGCCGGGAACGAGAAAGAGGAGGGCGAGACGGCCGACACGGTGGGCTGCTGCTCCCTGCGCGTGGAGCACATCAGGCTGCATCCGCGGCTGGGTGGCAAGGAGAGCGTCGTGGAGTTCGATTTCCTGGGGAAGGACTGCATCCGATATTATAACCAGGTGCCTGTGGAGAAACAGGTGAGGAAGGGACTATCGTCAAACTATCACCATAGAGAATATGCAGATCAAATTTGAAGATGACACCAAATGGGGAGGGATTGCTAATCCTCCAGAGGACAGGATCAGAATTCAAAATGACCTTGACAGATTAGAGACTTGATTGGCCAAAACTAACAAAATGAATTTCAACAAGGACAAATGTAAGATACTAGGCATGTGCAATCCATGGTTCTAGATGGTTCTAAAGTACTTACAAAACTAAAGTTCTGGTGGTGAACTCTAGAGGGCACTGGTGCTTTGCTTCTACAGTGTTGCTAAAGTTTTGGTGGTGAAACTTTCAGAACTCTTAACACAACTTTCAAAATTTCATTATAAATGGCAGTTCCTAATAGTTTCTGTCATAAAAAAACAACCAATAATGAAATAATAATGACATTTTGAAAGTTTTGTTAGAGTTCTGAAATTTTCACCACCAGAACTTTAGTAACACTGTAGAAGCAAAGCACCAGCGCCCCCTAGTTTTCYRGACCAGAACTTTAGTTTTGTAAGTACTTTAAGACTATTTAGAACCATGGATTGCACATGCCTATAAGATACTACYCTGAGGCAGAAAAAAATGGAATGCAAAGATGGGTGAGGCCTAGTTCGACAACAGTCKWTGTGAGAAAGATCTTGTRGTCTTCGTGGACAGGAAGCTGAACATGAGCTAACAATGTGATGCAGCAGCTTAAAAAGCCAATGGGATTCTGGGATGTATCCAAAGGAGTCTAGTGTCTAGATCAAGGGAAGTCATGGTGCCTATCTATTCTGCTTTGGTTAGACCTCTTTACCTGGAAGACTGTGTCCCATTCTGGGCACCACAGTTCAAATGAGATATTGACAACTGGAAGGAGTCCAGAGGAAGAGGGAGACTAAAAAGATCAAAGTTCTGGAGACCATGAATCCCTCTGAGGAGCGGCTTAAAGAACTGGTCATGTTTATCCTGCAGAAGAGAAGGTTGAGAGGGAGACATGATAGTCATGTATAAATATGTATCATAAGGAAGAGGGAGCAGACTTGTTTTCTGCTACCCTGGAATCTGGGACTCAATGGATTCCACCTGAACCTTAGGAAGAATTTCAAAAACAACAACAACAGGCCTGTGCATGTAGACATTTCAGTAGCAGTATCTCTAGCAAGGTTTTTTTCCACATGTTATCATAGGATTTTACGATCACAGCTTCTTGGTTTCTTGGTTGATGCAGGTCTTCAAGAATTTGAAACTATTCATGGAGAACAAAGATCCTGGAGATTGCCTTTTTGATCAGTTGTCTGTAAGTTGGAGATTCATTTGGGCTGGGGTGTTGGGTGGACCTTCCTATATATTTTTTAGTTACTGGCTTTCAGCCTAGCTATTGCACTCCAGACCAGGAAGCCCTCTGACTTTAAACACCACACAGCTGAGTAAAATGCAAGCAGTTTATTGAAGATAATTAAAAGCAGTAGCAGTAAAAAGCAATCCACAAAAATAGGTAAATCCAATTAAGTAGAAAAGAAAGATAGGAACAACAAATCCAGGAAACAGTTCATCAGAGTTCATGATAATAAATACTGGAATTTCCAAGCCAAAACCCCAAAACTTGAGTATGAAACAAACAAGGCACTTCAGCATGGAAATTACAAGGCACTTGATACAAGAATCTATCCAAGGCAAGGCTTCCAGGGACCTGAGAGGATTTCTTGACTTAATTCCAATGTTGCTTCGTCTGGCTACAGATTCTGTACTTGGCACTTTTATCCCCTAATCTACTTTATATTCCAAGCAGCCAGGAATAGATTTCTTCTCAGCCTTGAATCTGCTATCAGTCTCTCTTGCAATCTGGCAGAGCACCTGAGAGCCAGGTTTGTTTTTATTTGCTGACTGAAAGCACTTCTCCTATATACTGGCTCATTAATTTCTGCATTAATTTCTCAGGCTCACAGTCTTGGGAATTCCCTGGTAGTAATTCAGGCCCAGGGAACAGACCATAATTCCCAAACCTTTCAGGAACATTCCCATCAGAAAAGTCACTTTGAACAGGAATCCCATTATCATTCTCTGCATCTAGAACAACCTCATCATTAGACACATGAACCTCATTGTCACTCCCAACATCCAGAGCACCCAGATCATTAGACACAATCATAGTTCACTCCAACACTAGCTTTTCAAATATCCCACCAGTTAGGACCCATTCCTCCAGTTCTCTGCCCTTTTCCAAGAGCTCTTTACATTATATTCTATGATACAATTAATAAATAGAATAGCATTTTCCAAGTAGAAGCTCATGACATCACAGGTACTATTTCTGGTGTTACGGATTCCATAACAGAAGGTGGGATTTGAGCTTCTATCAGTTAGGATCTCTGCAAGCCTACCTGTTGCAACTCAGGGTAGTTTCACCTTGCTCCCAAACACCACCACACCAGAGCTGTAGATTTTATAGTTTATTGAGAGAAAGGCAAAGTCAAAACATAGAATAAGAAATGCAAAAGTTCCACAAGCAGGACAGAGGCTTAAATGCAAAAACACGGTTCCCAAGATCCAAAGGCAAAAACATGAAGCACAATCATTCAGGCAATGATCAAACAAGAGTCCATGGTAAAATAGTGAAACACAAGACCCAAAATCCCAGATTCAGGAAGCCAAAAGCGAGCTGCTTAAAGCCAAGGTTAATCCATTGGAGTTTGCATGGAAAGAGCCACGTTGAACTGACAACTCCCGTTTGTTAACCAGAAGGCTAAATACCCTTTGCAATCATGAACGCATTGCGATGACCCTTGGTCGACTTGGCTTCTCACTTACCAGCTAAGCGAGAGCTCCTTCGGACCCTTAATTCTAAGCGTTCTTGTCTGCTCATTATTTCACTATCTTCAAGGCTCTCTTTATCTTGGTCCAGCTGGACTAGATCACCGTGGGAAGGCTGGGGAGGCGAAGACAACTCCACCTGGCCATTATCTATCCCACTGACATTCTTTTCCCCTGAGAACTGACTTGATGTTTCTCCTGCTGCACTGTCTGAGGCAGGCACAACAGAAATCTGAATCCCATCATTCTCTTCATCAGGGACCTTTGGCTCACCAGACCCACAGGGTTCAGTTTCAGACTCAGAATCAAACTGAGTCACACTACCACACAATTCTTAAGTTTTGTTTTTTCCTGGACTTGTGAGAGCGGGAGGAGTCTTGAAATGTATGAGTGGTGGCAAATATAATAATAATGACTAGAAGGACTGGCTTGGAAGGGGAAAGGGAATCAAGTCCTTCTAAATTCAGTTTCCCAGCTTCAGCAACTGGAAATTGTGGGCTCTTTTTCTCTCATCTCCTGTGTGGTGGGACTTTCTCATTTTTTTTGCTCTAAACACCTTCCCGTCTTCATTTTCTAGACCACTTCCTTAAATAAACACCTCCAGGACCTGATGGCTGGCTTGACGGCCAAGGTCTTCAGAACGTACAATGCTTCCATCACTCTGCAGGAACAACTGGACGCGTTGACAAAGCGTAAGTGGCTCGACAATGCCACCCATCGCATTCTTCTCAATTCTCTGCTTTTCCTCCAGAGCTGGGTTGAAAGGTCTGAACAAGTCTATTGTTTATTGTAAGGCTTTATGGAATCTCTGCAACAATTTCTGATGCGAATTATTGGGATTGCCATTAGAGAATCCAGCTTCTGTTGACAGCAAAAGATGCAGATTTTAGTTTGACTCGAGATCTGACTTGAGATGAAAATTAAGCAATGGGTGCCATTACTCAGTGTTCCCTCTTCTCCCACATTATTTTGCTTGAAGTAATGTTTGTTGTTGTGGGATGAGGTAATTTCGGTGACCCCTCTGACCCCCCAGGGGTCCCGACCCCCAGGTTGAGAAACCCTGTCCTAAATGGTTCTGGTCCAGCTTACCTATCTGAATGTATTTCCCTCTATGAACCATTTTAGAGGTGAAGATCATCCGGAGAGGCCCTGCTCTTGGTGCCACCTCCTTCACAGGTGCAAATTGTGGGGCGAGAGACAGGGCCTTCTCAGTGGTGGCCCCTCAGCTATGGAACTCCCTCCCCAATGAAGTTAGAGTAGCCCCCTCCCTCCTGAGCTTCAGAAAAAAATAGAAAATTGGCTATGGGACCAAGCCTTTGGGCAGTAGGCAATGCAAGGAATGATCAGGGCTTATGTGCGATTGTTATTTGAATTTGGAACAGCCTTCAGCCATGATTATGTGATTTTATTTATTTATATGAATATGTTTTTAACTCCATGTTTTAATTGTCTAAATGTTACGTTTTTATAATCTAATTGATAGTTATATGTTATTGTTGCTATATGTATTCGAGGCATTAAATATGTTGGAAAAGGTGAGAAAAGCAGTATACAAGTGAAGTAAATCTATGTATACAATAAAAGTCAGTGTTTGTATGCGGAGGACGGGAGGTGTATGTGGCAGTGTTCTGATTGGCTGCCACTGTGGTACAATTTGCATATGGTCTCTGATTGGCCACCCTCTACATTCCGAGATAGCAGAGGGAAAAGGAAAGGGGCCTGAGGCTGTCAGGAATGGTTGGAGTTGAAGTCCAAAATACTTTGTGGCCCCCAACAATGACAGAACAAGACCAAACCTGGCACACAGACCCCCCCCCCCTCCGCCCCCAAGACCCACTCAACATCCTGGTGCAGTTTGAGGCAGGATGGACCATGGATGACAGGACTTGCAGTACTTTAACTCACTTCCTTAGAGCACTGTGGCCCACACCAAGGACGGATCAGGACCAAACTTGGCACATAGAGGCACAATGGCCCACTTTACAATCTGGTGCGGTTTAGGGCAGGATGGGCCACGAATGATGGGATTTACAGTACCTTCACCCGATTCACTTCCCTCAGAACATTGTAGCCCCTACAAATCACAGACCAAGCCCAAAATTGGCACACAGAGTACTCATGTCCCACTCTAAATCCTGATGCAGTTCTAAGGGGGACGGACCATGGATGATGGGACTTGCAGTACCTTTACTCACTTACTGAAACCACTGCGACCCTCATCCAATGACTGATCAAAACCAAATTGGCAAAAAGAGTCCCCATGACCCATTCTACATCCTGCTGCAGTTTGGAGGAGGGTGGACCATGGATGATGGGACTTCAAGTACCTTCACTCCCTGAAAACAATGCAACCGTCGTCCAATGACCAATAAAGACCAAACTTGGCATACAGAACCTCCATTACCCATTTTCTCTAATAACCCGGGCAGCGCCGGGTCCCCAAGCTAGTAAATAAATAAATTTCAGTGTTTATGTAAGAGGGCATGGCTTGTTGTGAAAGAGGATTGGGTCAAGCTGCAGGCTAGAACTTGCAGAGCCTGGGAAGAGGAGCATTTGTGGACTGTTATTCCCAGAATCCCCCAGGCAGTTAATTTCATTTATTTTTGGATCCCATCATTGGGTGGTCCCTTACTCCAACATCATCTCTTGCATCAACAGAGAAAGACAGCGTTGCGGCTAAGCTGCTTTCCTACAACCGAGCCAACCGTGCGGTCGCCATCCTGTGCAACCACCAGCGGGCAACGCCAAAGACCTTTGAGAAGTCTATGAAGAACCTTCAAGCAAAGGTGAGTCAATGGAGGGCCAGAGTTTATCTGCTTGTAGATGACGAACTGAAGTCTCAGAGATTTCAACATAGAATTCTAGAGTTGGAAGAGATCCCAAGGGCCATCCGGTCCAGTCCTATTCTGCCAAGCAGGAAAACACAACCAAAGCCCTCCTGACAGACGACCATCTGGCCTCTGTTAAAAAACCTGCAGAGAAGGATCCAAGGCCTCTCTCCCAGGCAGCTGCAGATTATTTTCTCCAAGATAAATATAGCCAGCTCCATCTGCCACTCTTTAGAGCTTGGTATCCACATCTTTGATCACTTTAGTCACCCTTCTATTGACATCCTTCTTAAATTAGGATGTCTAGAACTAGACACAGGAGAAATAACTTGGAATTGTGTTGCCAAAGACTTTCATAGCCAGAATCAGTGGGTTTTTGTGGGGGGTTTTGGGCGGTATGGCCATGTTCCAGCAGCATTATCTCCTGACCTTTTGCCTGCATCTATTTTAGGCATCCTCAGATTGTGAGGTCTGTTGGAAACTAGTCAAGCAGGGTTTATATATCTGTGGAATGATGTCCATATATAATATCTATGTATATACATATAATATTTATAATATTATAATGTAGTACAATATGATACTACTAATAAAAATATGATGTTATAATTGTATATTTTATGTTGCATGTGGTATTCTTAATATTACGATATGTTATGTCACAATGTGGTGGTGTATTCTTACTTACTTACTTACTTGGGCAATCCCTCGTTGTCCGAGTAGGATAATACTCCAGGGTGGGTCCGTAGGTGACTGTGGAGCCCTATTCTTGATCTGCATCGTCTCCCACAGTAAGGGCATTGGTTTCCAGGTGGAAGATGGTCCCGGTCGGGGTTGGCTTGATGCGCCTTCCTCTTGGCATATTTCTCTCTTTCACCCTCCATTCGTGCCTCTTCAAATTCTGCAGCACTGCTGGTCACAGCTGACCTCCAGCTGGAGCGCTCACAGGCCAGGGCTTCCCTGTTCTCAGTGTCTTTGCCAGAGTTTTTAAGGTTGACTTTGAGCCCGTCTTTCAATCTCTTTTCTGCCCAACAACATTTCATTTTCCGTTCTTGAGTTCGGAGTAGAGCAACTGCTTTGGGAGACAGTGGTCGGGCATCCAGACAACATGGCCAGTCCAGCAGGGTTGATGGTGGAGAACCATCGCTTCAATGCTGGTGGTCTTTGCTTCTTCCAGCACGCTGACGTTTGTCCGCTTGTCTTCCCAAGATATTTGCAGGATTTTCCGGAGGCAGCGCTGATGGAATCGTTCCAGGAGTTGCGTGTGATGTCTGTAGACAGTCCACGTCTCGCAGGCATAAAGCAGGGTTGGGAGGACAATAGCTTTATAGACAAGCACCTTAGTATCCCAACGGATGTCCCGGCCCTCAAACACTCTGTGCTTCATTTGGAAAAATGCTGCACTCGCAGAGCTCAGGCGGTGTTGTATTTCGATGTCGATGTTGACTTTGGTGGAGAGGTGGCTGCCAAGGGAGCGGAAATGGTCCACATTTTCTAATGTTACACCATTAAGCTGTATCTCTGGCACTGGAGAGGGATTGGCCGGTGACTGCTGGAAGAGCAGTGTACAGTGCTGATATTATACTATGCTAATAATGTGATGTATTGTCTTGTGAGCTGCACTGAGTCCCCTTTGGGGTGAGAAGGGCGGCATATAAATGTCGTAAATAAATAAATAAATAAATAAATAAATGTCCAGGGTGGAAGAAAGAACTCTTGTCTGTTGGAGGCAAGTGTGAACGTTGCAATTGGCCAGCTTGATTAGCATTGAATAGCCTTGCAGTTTCAAAGCCTGGCTGCTTCCTGTCTGGGAGAATCCTTTGTTGGGAGGTGTCCTCTACAAATCAGGACAGCAAATGAAGAACAACACTAAAAAAACAGGGGAATTCCAGACAGGAAGCAATTGTGACCAGCTAACACCTCCCAACAAAGGATTCCTCCAGGCAGGAAGTAGCCAGGCTTTGAAGCTGCAAGGCTATTCATAGAATCATAGAGTTGGAAGAGACCTCATGGGCCATCCAGTCCAACCCCTTGCCAAGAAGCAGGAATATAGCAATCAAGTATTTAACAGCTTTGCAGCTTCAATGTTTTTTATTAAGAGACGCAAATGATCTATGTTTTAATATTCTTGTTATGGTTTTATATTATGTGTTAATGTTTTTAAATGTTTTATGGTGTTTTTGGGCAAAAATAAAAAATAATAAAAAATAATAATAAAATAAAATAAAATAAATTTGCAACATTTACACTTGTCTCAAGCAGACAAGAGTTCTGTCTCCCACCCTGGACATCATTCCACAGGGATATAAACCCCACTTGCCCAGTTTCCAGCAGACTTCAACCTCTGAGGATACCTGCCATAGATGTGGGCAAAACGTTAGGAGACAATGCTTCTGGAACATGGCTCGACATCCTGGAAAATTCACAGCAACCCACTTACTTGGAATTCCCTTTATTTATTTTTTGGCTTCCAGATCGATTGCAAAAGGGACCAGTTGTGCGATGCAGAAAGGGAGCTGAAGAGAGCGAAGGCAGAACACAAAGCCAAAAAGGATGCCAAATCAAAAGCGTGAGTCCTCCCCGCTCTTATTTTAAGATCTTAATTTATTTTAATTCACGACTGGCTGTTTCTCTCTGAACTGGGACATCAGCCTGCACTGTTTTCTTGTAGATTTGCATTGTGAATTCCCTGTTTATCTGTTTTACAACCCACCAGAAATAGCTAAGATTGTCACAGTTTGAGGGGACAGATTCTCCAAATACAATGCACCCCTTTTAGTTCTGTCCCAAATCTTCTGCCGTCACATTATTGGGTTGTTCTGACTATCAGTTGAGGAGGGGAAGGATGTTGCTTTTTCTTGCTTCAGAATTACTTTCCTACCATGAATGATTTTATAAACTTCCACCAAGTCCTTTCTGGCTTCTTCTTTTTCTTAAATCAAGCAGTATAATGGTGAGGAAAGGAAAAGCATCCCCTTTCCAAGAAGGAAAGCATCCCCTTCCAAGAATAAAGCTTTAAACGGCTCAATGTTTTGTTGAAGGCTTTCGTGGACAGAATCATTGGGTTGCTGTGAGTTTTTTGGGCTGTTTAGCCATGTTCCAGCAGCATGCTCTTCTGACATTTCACCTGCATCTGTGGCTAATGGCATCTTCAAAGGTTCTGATGACAGTGAAGCAAGTGCAGTGGGTATGTGTGTGTATCTATATAAATAAAAATGTAATGTTCGTTTGTGGGATTAACATAACTCAAAAACCACTGGACAAATTGGCACCAAATTTGGACACAATACACCTCTCAGGCCAATGAGTGACCATCACCCATAAAAACAAAAAAAACCCACAGTGGATGAGACATAAAAGCCAAAAAAATACATTACAATGCATGTGCAAAAGCACATATATACATAAACACACATATATACAAATATATACATACACACATATATACAAATATATACATACACACATATACGTGTGTGTGTGTGTGTGTGTGTGTGTATACACAAACACACACACACAAACATATACACAGACTGGGCCACAGCAAAGCGTGGCAGGGGACGGCTAGTGTGTGTGTGTGTGTGTGTGTGTGTGTGTGTATATATATATATAGACACATACATACACACACACACACACACACACATATATAGGAACCCCCGGTGGCACAGTGGGTTAAAGCACTGAGATGCTGAACTTGGTGATCGAAAGGTCGCAGGTTCGAATCCAGGGAGTGGGGTGAGCTCCTGCTGTTAGCCCCAGCTTCTGCCAAACTAGCAGTTCAAAAACATGCAAATGTGAGTAGATCAATAGATATTGCTCCGGCAGGAAGGTAATGGTGCTCCATGCAGTCATATTGGTCATGTGACCCTGGAGGTATCTATGGACAATGCCGGTTCTTCGGCTTTAAAATGGCAATGAGCACCAACCCCCAGAGTTGGACACGACTGGACTTAATGTCAGGGGAAAACCTTTACCTTTATTCTCTCTCTCTCTCTCTCTCTCTGTCTCTCTCTCTCTCTCTATATATATATATATCTGTAGAATAATATCCAGGGAGGGAGAAAGAACCCTTGTCTGTTGGAAGCAAGTGAGAATGTTGTAGTTAGCTAGCTTGAATTAGCATTTGAGTAGCCATAAAGCTGCAAAGTCAATCAGTGAGGGTATCTTCATAGAGGTAGTGAAGCAAGTGGAGTGTATATATACCTGTGGAATAATGTCCAGGGTGTGAGAAAGAACCCTTGTCTGTTTGAAGCAAGTGAGAATGTTGTAGTTAGCAAGCTTGAATTAGCATTTGAGTAGCCATGAAGCTGCAAAGTCAATCAGTGAGGGTTTTAGCATTGAGGTAGCCTGGCCTTTGTTGCCTGGAGGCATCCTCTGTAATTAAAAAGCACCAGAATCAAGACAGTAAAATATGAACACTACTCAGAAACAGGAGAACTCTGGACAGCAAACAATCAAGGGCCAGTAAACACCTCCCAAACAGAGGATGCCTCCAGGCAACAGAGGCCAGGCTACCTCTACCCTCACTGATTGACTTTGCAGCTTCAGGACTACTCAATACTATACAAGCAGCTTGCTTATTGCAACATCCACACTTTCTTCAAACAGACAAGGGTTCTTTCTCTTACCTGGGATATTATTCCACAGATATGTATATAAATAAAAATGTAATGTTTGTGGGATTAACATAACTCAAAAATCACTGGATGAATTGACACCAAATTTGGACATAAGACACCTATCAGGCCAACAAGTGACCATTACTCATAAAAACACTGAAAAACACAGCGGAAGAGACTTAAAAAGCCAAAAAAAAATTTACATTACAACGCATGTGCAAAACCACACACACACACACACACACATATATATGCAAACACACATATATACACACACAAAGAACATATATACAGACTGGGCCACAGCAAAGTGTGACAAGTGATGGCTAGTGTGTGTGTGTGTACACATACATACATACACACTGCACTTGCTTCACTGCCAAGAACCTCTGAAGAAGCCAGTAGCCACATATGCAGGCGGAACATCAGGAGAGAATGCTGCTGGATCATGGCCATATAGCATGAAAAATCCACCATCAAGAGCTATTTCACATTTTTGTTCTGGTGTTGTTTTTCATGGGTCTATCTTTGCGATGGGGGATTTTGTTATATCAGCCCTACAAAATTACCCAAAGCCCTCCATTTTAATATATTCTTAACTTTTGGAGTACTTTTTAACTTTGTTTTGCTCCCAAATGGTTTAGAAAAATATCCCAGTTGTGTACCAACCATCCCGAGACCCAATGTCACATATTTTCTTACCTCAAATGCATGTTTTTTGTTCTTGTGTTTCCCAAAATGACAACTGGAAGAGATGTGACCTCACTTCTTGTCTCCAGTTTCGAAAGGATGTGATGCAAACTTTTTTCAAGGTTTTTGGCACCCTGTTTTAGTCAAGCTAGCATTGGATGTGTTTCCCTCCTTGGTGTGCCTTTGTGTCCGTCCCTCTTTCTGCTTCACTGCCTCTCTTTGAAAGCAGTGCTCTGGAGAAGAAAATTAAGCGAATAGAGACGATTGAAGAGCAGTTGGCAAAGCTGGACATGCAAGCCACGGATAAGGAGGAAAACAAGCAGATTGCGCTGGGCACCTCCAAGCTGAATTACTTGGACCCCCGCATCACTGTGGCCTGGTGAGTAAAGGGCACGAAGAATTTTTTTTGTGTCTGATTCCTGGTCTGATTAGAGCAAGAAACCATGATTTTCTCATTCTGTTCCAGCCACACATTATTGTCCAAGAGACCTACTATGACCCTAAAAAAGATCAATTTATTGTTGTCATATAAGAGTACATCTATATTGTACAGTAAATGTATTGTTGTGAGTTTTCCAGGCTGTCTGGCCATGTTCCAGAAGCTTTATCTCCTGATGTTTAGCCCACTTCTATGGCAGGCATCCTCAGAGGTTGGGAGGTCTGTTGGAAACTAGGCAAGTGGGATTTATATTGACAAGTTGGAATGTGTCCAGAGGAGGGCGATTAAAATGATCAAGGGTCTGGAGAACAAGTCCTATGAGGAGCGGCTTAAGGAGCTGGGCATGTTTAGCCTGAAGAAGAGAAGGCTGAGAGGAGATATGATAGCCATGTATAAATATGTGAGAGGAAGCCACAGGGAGGAGGGAGCAAGGGCTGATTCAACCAGAGAAGTCAGCCATAGTAGAGCACCTGATGAACCAACCTGGACACATAATATTCTTTGAGAACACAGAAATGCTGGACTACTCTCACAACCACAACCGTCCCTGTAAGGAGGCTCAGAAGAAGAGCAGAGATCTTCCATGGGGTCCTGTGACCTCTCTGTGTTCTTCCTTGTTTACTATTAGTGAACAGAGAAGCCACTGAAAACCACATCCGCATGTGGACAATTTCAACAGAAAGGAGGAAACCATGAAAATGAATGAATGACAATCCAGTTATCTCTCAAAGGTCAATCTGTATCCGAAATGCTCCTTTTTCCCATCTGTTTTTCCTCCCTGCAGGTGTAAACGGTTCGACGTTCCCATCGAGAAGATTTACAACAAGACCCAGAGGGAGAAGTTCGCTTGGGCCATTGCCATGACGGATGAGAATTTCAAATTCTAGCAGATTCTTTCAAATTGCGATTTGCCTGCATTGTTTGGGACTTCTGTCGTGTCCTCTTTGGTGAATCTAAAATACATCTAGTAGAGGAAGATCTGGTGCTCTAGCTTCTTCTTTTTGTACCAAAAGAGAAGAAATGCAGTTTTGGGCTTTGGCTTCAGAATGTATGAGCCACCTCTCCTTTTGGGTTACCTAATAACAACAAAAGGGTTGCTTGGAAGTACCTTTAGTTACTCTGGTTGTTTTCCCGTAATACCAAGGCCCTTTTCTCTCCAACGGTGGAGGTCCAAGAAGGCACCGACTTTGCCAATGGTTTTCCTAATCTTATCTTCTCTGCATCAGAGATGCTTTCCGTTTATCCTTTTGTAAGTTTGCACATTTGGAAAATTGAGGTCGATAGCAACAAGGTCCTGTTTACATGGCATGCAATGGGATCAGTGATTGAATTTGCACTTAATAGTAGTTGTGCTGAGACGAAGAGCAGAGAGGTGGGCCTTTTGGAGCATAATTTTTAACTTTGGGAGGAAAGTATCTCAGCTTGCTGCCTCTTGCAGCAGAATATAGGAAAGTGTGTTTTATTGGAGAGTTAAGAAAGAAACACAGCCACTAAGAGCAACGTGTCAGAGAAATTTTGGGGGTATATGCGCAGCGGAAGAGGGTGCTACATCACAGGACTCCAAAAATCAGGACTCTGCAGTCTTACAGTTGCAAAATAACACAAAGTTTACTAAGGACATCTACACAGGTCCATTCTTAGCGGGCTATAATCAGGAACTACAAAGCACAGCACAAACAGTTTCTGAACATCTGCTTATCAGTCCTCCGGCTGTAACCGGATCCTCCTTCTACTTCCCACAGCCAGAGAACATGTTATCTCATTTCTGTCAAGGTTACATTTTCTCTGCTTCTCACAGTATTTCTAATACACAATTGAACATAATAGAATCCATCTTGAAATACATCTTAATCCATCTTGAATTACATAGAAACACATTGAAAAACACACATGCATACCTCAATAATCCTGACACAAAGTAGGAATTTTACACAATGTCATTCCATTTTGGTTTTTGAATCTGTCCAAGAGTGAGTGGTTCGTACGAATCTAGCACTGTCTTCACTGGATGTGCAATGGTTCAATTTAGGAAGGGAAATGCAGCAAATTCATTGGGGAAAAGATGGTGAAGGGAGAGCAAGGTTGTAAAATATTATTTATGTACAGATCTGGAGTAAAAAGCACTGAGTTTTCTTGGACAATATTTATGGCTTTTTTTGTTATGGATGCTGGAAAGGGAACCTATGTTTGGAGCAGGAGAAATAATGTAGACGATGCACACAAATCCTGGCCATGAAGCTTTCCAGATGTGTTTACAAGGAGTACGTACATTACTTTGTTTCCTTGTCATGTGAAAATCACTGGTTCTGCATCAAAACCACATCTGGAATCCTTTAACAAATTCAACTTTTCTGACTGCCGCGTCAAGTAAGTTCCGACAGTGTTCAGATTTCAAAGAACTCGAAGAGTTTGAGTATTTCTTTATTTCTGTTTGCCACTATGTTGAATGGAAAGTGCTTTATTAAAATACGAGTGTTTTGCCTGAGCATTGTATCTGCTTTGTGTTGGCAGTGGGCTGATTACAAAGGAAGCAGAAGGGTCACGTTGCCAGGGCTCTGCCATTATGCAGGCAGAGATGAACCAAAACAAACATCCAGCTTGTGTAAAACTGTTTAATTAAAGCAGCACTTACGATCTGGCTGTTTTCATAGTCCAAAATAGAAAACATAAAGATAACACTCAGCCACAGAATATAAAACAAAGACTAGGGAAGTCATGCTACCCCTCTATTCCGCTTTGGTTAGACAACATCTGAAATACTGTGTCCAATTCTGGGCACCACAATTCAAGGAGCTGGGAATGTTTAGCCTAAGAAGAGAAGGCTGAGAGGAGATATGATAGCCATGTATAAATATGTCAGAGGAAGTCACAGGGAGGAGGGAGAAAGCTTGTTTTCTGCTTCCCTGGAGACTAGGACGCAATGGAACAATGGCTTCGAACTACAAGAAAGGAGATTCCATCTGAACATGAGGAAGAACTTCCTGACTGTGAGAGTATGCAGCCTTGCCGTACGCCTTTCCCAATCTTGAACCAGTCTGTTGTTCCATGGTCAGTTCTGACTGTTGCTCCTTGGTCCTTGTACAGATTCCTCAGGAGAGAGGGAAGGGGGCTTGGGATGCCCATCCCACCAAGAACTTGCCACAGTTTATTATGATCCACACAGTCAAAGGCTTTAGAGTAGTCAATGAAGCAGAAGTAGATGTTTTTCTGAAACTCCCTGCCTTTCTCCATTATCCAGCGGATATTGGCACTTACTCGACTGATTATAAAGAAAATTGGTATAAACTATTTTACCAATGGTATTTAACTCCTGACATATTATCGAAGATTAACAAAAGAAAAAATAATGGCAAGTGTTGGAAATGTAGGAAAGATAAGGGAAACTTCATCCACATGTGGTGGAGATGTAAAAAATCCTTCTGGAGACAAATCCATAAAAAATTAGAAGCAATCCTGAAAATCAAATTTGAATTAAAACCGGAATATCTACTACTAGGCATCACGGATTTGGATATGGACATAAACACAAACAAGATCTTCTTTTACCTAACAACGGCAGCACGAATAAAATTAGCCCAGATGTGGAAATCTCAGGATATCCCTTCAATAGAGCAATGGATATCAAAAATTTTGGACATAAAGAATTTTGGACACAAAGAATATCCAACAATAGCAATAGGACAAGAACAACAAACTGGAACAATTTGCTCCTATTTTTAGATGAGGAGAAAAGGGCATAACCAACTAGAATACTAACTATAAAATATAGAATAATAATAACGGCCTGCATTTTAATAATAACATCAATGATAAAAGATAAAATAAGTACCCCATGTGTAGAAGACAATAACCAGTTGATCATAAAACGATAAAGTTTACAGAACAATCGGTCTTCCTCCACCTTTTAAGCAACAAAAGTCATCAGTCTGCATAACGTGAATCTCAAGAGCCATCCCTGCGCATCTTGGAAGTACTTTCCGATACCGACAGAACCCCCCTTTTTATTATTATTATTATTATAACGTTATTTGTACCCCGCTAGCATCTCCCGAAGGATTCGATGCGGCTTACAGCAGGCCGAAGCCCAAAAACAATACAACAATACAATACATAGCAAATAAAACAGTCAAGCAAAAACAATGACAATAGAACACGACAAGACATTATTAAAAACTGAGTCGGCCGAAGTAGGGTACAGGGTTAAAAGTGCTGATGTATCGGAGGGGTGTGGGATTATAATAAAAGTGCGGTGTGCAGTGTGCGGTGATCTTGGTAACTAAAGTGCTTCTGGGATTTGGTCCTGGGAGATTCCTAATCTGAAAAGGCACATTGGAACAGCCAGGTTTTCAAATTCTTTCTGAAAACTGCCAGTGTAGGGGCTTGTCTGAGATCTTTCGGGAGGGTGTTCCAGAGGCGGGGGGCCACCACGGAGAAGGCCCTGTCTCGCGTCCCCACCAAGCGCGCTTGTGACGCAGGCGGGATCACGAGCAGGGCCTCTCCAGATGACCGGAGTGAGCGTGTCGGTTCGTAGACAGCGATGCGGTCACGCAGGTAGGGTGGTCCCAAACCGTTCAGGGCTTTGTAGGTAAGCACCTGCACCTTAAATTGGGCTCGGAAAATAAACGGCAGCCAGTGGAGCTCCTTAAACAGGAGGGTTGACCTCTCTCTGTAATGGGCCCCAGTTAACATCCTGGCTGCTGCCCGTTGGACCAATTGGAATTTCCGAGCCGTTTTCAAGGGCAGCCCCACGTAGAGCGCATTGCAGTAATCCAGTCTAGAGGTGACTAAGGCATGGACCACCCCGGCCAGATCAGCCTTAGCGAGGTACGGACGTAGCTGGCGCACAAGTCTCAATTGTGCAAAAGCCCTCCCGGTCACCGCCGAAGCCTGAGCCTCAAGCGTGAGCGATGAATCCAGGAGGACTCCCAAGCTACGGACCTGTGGCTTCAGGGGGAGTGTAACCCCGTCCAACACAGGTTGCCACCCTATACCCCGATCTGGTTTACGATCGACCAGGAGGACCTCTGTCTTGTCGGGATTGATCTTCAGCTTGTTCCTCCTCATCCAGATAGACACAGCGGCCAGGCACTCGTCCAGCACCCGAGAGGCCTCCTTGGAATTGGGTGGAAATGAGTAGTAGAGTTGTGTGTCATCTGCGTAGAGATGGCACCCAACTCCAAAACTCCGGATGACCTCTCCCAGCGGTTTCATGTAGATGTTAAAAAGCATGGGAGACAAGATAGAGCCTTGCGGGACCCCACAGGTCAAAGGCCAGGGGTCCGAGCAGGCATCTCCCAGCTTCACCATCTGAGTTCGTCCCTCCAAGAAGGACCGGAGCCACGACAGAACCGTGCCCCCATTCATTTTTCCCTGAATGAATGTGAGTGTATGCAAGAGTGAGTGAGTTACACACACCCCTTCCCCAACCCCTTTCTATCTCCTCTCCTTTCCACATTTTCCTCTCCCTACCCAATTGTTCCACCACTTTTTATGTATCTACAAACACACAATAAAAATAAATAAATAATAAAAAGAAATGGCAGTGAAGTGTCATTGTTTTTATTGTGCTTTTTAATGGCTGCATTCACACCTGGAATAATCAGTGGACCCCCAGGTTGAGAAACGCTGATCTAGATAGTAATATCCTTGTGTTGATAATATATCAGCCTTGGTTTTCTATGTCACCTAAGATATCATCCATTAGAGGGAGCCTTTGAGCACCAGGTATGGGAAAATTTTGGTCCTCCAGGTGTTTTGGACTTCAACTCCCAGGTCCAAAACACCTGGATGTAGGGCTGAAGTTGGCCCATACCTGGTGTTAGATGCACTCATAGTTGTCTTCTCACACATCTGGGCAAATGAGGTTTTTCAGGACAGGGCAGAGTCTCTGGAAAGAGAAGGAAAGCCTGTCGGGTAAGAAAGACGTGACTCTGTCGGAATTCAACGCAACAATCAAGACCTGTTCCTTCCGGCAGGCCCGTGCAGGTGATTTTTAATTAAATCATGAATTTTAAATTGTGTGTTTACTGTTTTTAAATGCATTGCTCTTCTCGGTTCTTTTCATCAGGTTGATGTGTTTTTTAAGTGTTGGTTCATGATGTTTTTTGGATACGTTGCCATTTTGCCCCTCGATCCATTGGGGAGAGGCCAGTGAAACCCAAATAGTAATAATTATAATGATGATGGTGTTTGCAGGAAATGGATGCAATCAGCGGATTAGTGTGGAACGACATATTTTTATAGTAATCATATCTGTAATGATTCCACAATGCTTGGAGAGGGACGATATCGTGGAATTTATGCATTGTTATAGTGCTCTAAAGGCATGGCATGATCATGCTCTCAGGGCTTTCCAAAACCAAGCAAAACAAAAGCAACAAACATAGCTTTCCATTGCTTGTTTGTAATGGTGAGTAGTATTGTAAGACTGGGATGCAATCTTCAAGCCCTAACTTCCCACAGAAGCAGTACCTATTGATCTACTCAAATTTGCATGGTTTCGAACTGCTAAGTTGGCAGAAGCTGGGGCTAACAGTGGGAGCTCACCCCGCTCCCTGAATTCGAACGGCCAACCTTTCAGTCAGCAAGTTCAACAGCTCAGCAGTTCAACTCACTGTATATTATTATTTATTATTATTACTTGAAACACAACAAGGTGAGTCCACAGCAGACACTTTGCTGGCTCTTGTACTGGATCACACGTGTCTAGGACTGTGTGATGTATCGGCAAATAATGCGTACAGATCCCAGTAATGTGGCCTTTTGAAGCTGGCAGATGGTAATTTTGTCAGTGCTGATTGTGTTTAAGTGCAGGCCAAGGTCTTTAGGCACTGCACCATTGTGCTGATCAGCACTGGGACTACCTTGACTGGCTTGTGCCAAAGTCTTTGCAGTTCGATATTTAAATCCTATTATTATTATTATTATTATTATTATTATTATTATTATTATTATTAGGTTTATTATGTTTGTTTTTCTCCCCAAGGAGACTCAAAGTGGCCATGAATCTAGATGCAGGATTTATATCACACATCAAAG